TCGTCTTGTCTCGATCTAACCTCAAAACTTGCAACGATGCTGCAATCTTATTAAAAAGACCGAAAGACGCTAGTGGAAGTAAACGGAAATACGAGAGAGAGAGAGAGAGAGATAGATGGATAGATAGATAAAGAGAGAGAGAGAGAGAGAGAGAGAGAGAGAGAGAGAGAGAGAGAGAGAGAGAGAGTGAGAGAGAGGAAGGGAAGGAAATAGGAAGAGACCAAGAGTGAAGTTTTCGAATTAAATTTGCAAGAGAAACAACGTTACGGTTGCGGAGAAGCGGAGAAATCAACAATTGTTGAAGTACCTCTAGAAATATTCTCCTCTTTCTCTCTCTCTCTCTCTCTCACTCTCATTTATTCCTTCGATCGTTTCTTCCTCTTTCGACGAAAACTTGACATCCCCGACGCAACGACGACGACAACGACGACGATGAAAATTCCGGAACAACGAGAGGAACGTCTGCAGACCTTTGCCTTTTCGAAATATTCGCCTTGCTTTACGGAAATATTCTTATCATGGGGGAAATGACATTGACAGGATCGAGAGTAACAAATCATGGCTTTGCATCTCGATTGAATTAGAATAATAGAAAATAATATAAATGAAAAGAGGAATAAAGACAAAATCAAAAAAAAAAAAAAAAAAAGGAAAGAAAAAAAGAAAGAAAAAAAAAGAAAAAAAAAATAGAAAAAAAAAACCGAAGAAAAATGTTCGTTTACATGAAAAAATATTTCTCTATAAAAGAAAAGAGAAATAATAAAATTAATTTCCTATAAATAATATACGTGTATATGCATTAATGCATTAATACGTGTGTATATGCATTAATTTAATCCATTATATTCTTATATTCTTATCACAGTGAATTGACATTGATATAGGCTCGAGAAGAATCGTACCTTTTTTTTTTTTTTTTTTTTATATTCTCGCATTTCGAACGAATTATAAAACGAAACAAAGAATAGAAAGAGATACAAAAACAGAAAAAAAAAAAAAAGAAAAAGAAAGAAAAGAAAAAAAAAATAAGAACGTTAAAGAACAAACACAAATCGAACGAATTAATTTACAATGCAACATAAATAAATATGTACGCAGTAATACAATTAAGAAAATTTATTTACGAACAATTACGTACGTAATAGTTGGATATCGAGTGTATATATATATATATATATATATATATATATATATATATATATATATATATATTTGTACGATCGAAGGATAGGAAATTCCTATCGGTAGTTTCGACAAAGGGAAAGGAATCCTTGGTAAGATCGTAACGGTTGGATAAACAGTTTCTTTCTGATACGATATAAACGTTGGATTTGAAAGTAGTACTAGTAGTATAGGAAATGAAAGAAAAAAGACAAAAAAAAAACAGAAAAAAAAGTACACACACGAACGCGCACACATACTACACACACACACACACACACATACACAGAGCAGACGTGTCCGCGCTCTAGAAAGAACGGAAATTTGTAGAAAAGAAAAAAAAATTGAACAAGCTACCGGAAGTAACGTCAATATCCTTGTCGAGGAACAACGACGAGATGAGAGGAGTGGGGAGGGGAGATGAGGAGATAAAAAGAGAGGGGGTGTTTCCATCTAAGATTTGACAAGATCGCAAAGTCAAAAAACGAACGAACGAATGAACGAACGAAAGAGGATAGAATAGGAGAAGGAAAAAGGAGGAGATGCAAAATCTAGAGGAGGAGAAGAGAAAGGAAATATGGGTGGGTGGTTGGTTGGGTGAGTGTCTATAGTTGAAGGCAGGTAACGGGGAAGAAGGATTCCTTGGATGTTTGAGTTGTCACGAAAATGGAAAGCGCTAGAGCGCTTCGTCGTACCTTGACATCTACTGTCATGAGTTTGACAACGAGATAAGAAAGCCTCGTGCCTGTCTGCCTGCCTGCCTGCCTGCCTGCTGGCTTGCTTGCTTGCTTGCTTGCTTGCCTGCCTGGTTCGTTGGTTGGTTGGTTGGTTGCTTGCTTACTTGCTTGCCTACCTACTTGCCTGCCTGCCTGCCTGCCTGCCTGCCTGCCTGGCTGGCTAGTTGGCTGGTTGGCTGGCTGGCTGACTGGTGGCTGCTTGCCTGCTTGCCTTGGGGTTGTTACTGTTCCTAAACTACAACGATATTCCCTAGAGATAACGTTAGCCGAGTATTGCGGACATTTTCATTGGGAGATATCGTACGGGTGTGGATGTAAATTTGCCATTCGGCCAAACATGTTCCACAAAGGATAAAGAAGAAATCCGGCAATACGATATATATATTATAGGTAGTCCTTACGAAAGTTATACATATTACTATACTACACTATATTCCCAACGATAAAGATGCAAGAGCTACAATAGTGTGTGTGTGTATATATATATATATATATATATATATATTTAATTTGTCTTTTTTTTCTTTTCTTTTCTTTTCAATTAATTATTTACATAATTTGTGTCCTATCTATCTATCTATCTATCTATATATATATATATA